GTTTGAACTCAACACCAATGAAGCTTATGGATATATTACTTAAAATGATTCAAACCATCATGACAACCTGTAGAAATAAAAACTGTGCTTTTTGCTAGTTCGCTACTCTGAAATAATCTTTAATGTCACGATTTATGAAGGTCTGGAATATAATAATAATATATGTCGACTACACATTACGTGAAGAAAATGGTTGAAGTAAGGAATGTGCGAGGCGCGCATAGCTAGAATATCTGTACAGTCCTCTAATTGCGCTTCATCTTATCTTTTTGGTTACTTAACTTTGTCTGTTTAGTTTTCGGATTCTATGACTGCTTGAAATTTGGAGAGTTATAGTTTCCTTTGTATCTAGATCTACAGCTGCAGATAAAAATGTTGGAATGCATATTGCTCGTGATCATTGAAGTGATGGTAAAGTATGGTGTATGTGTAGCTACATCACATATTTTTCATGTACTGCTTCCCAGTGTTTGTCCATGATCCTCCATTGACATTGGTCAAGTTGATTTTTTTGGACACGCCTATCAATAACCACGCAGACTACTGCGATTTCTGCGCATGTGCCGAAATGACAGTCCCAAACTCCATCTCACTATAAACGTAGTAATACACAATATCACGCGCAGGGTATATGCTCCAGTTGAAGTGAGAATATAGCTGTTACGCAATCCATTTAGACCGGTGATGATGTACAGTCACATGTGCATTAGTGTAAAAGCTGTGTATGTACACATGACTGCTGAAGTGTTACTACACAGCAAAGGGCCGTAACAACAAACTGCAAAGCGCACCAGTGTGCATTACTATACTAATTACTGCCTAAAGTGCATGAGACCTTGCGCAGCAGTCGACCCAAACATTCACATATAGAATTACCTCTGATATGCTAAATCCCTGGGCTACCACTTGTTCATGACAACAAGTAAAATTCCGTTCTTTCACTGCGCTTATGACGCATGTCAACAGTACAAACTGATTACATGGTTTTCCAAGTTAGTAAAGACAAAGTCAGTAAACAAAAACAGTGGTGTTGCCTATATTATATTGGGGTTTGCATATAGAAAGTAGTGGTTCAAACAAACACCTTCATAAGCACAAAGTTAAATTATATCCAGGGACCTGTCTGTAAAATATCCCCTTCAAAATGCTTTTGGACACGAACTCAAAGCCACTGACTTCATACCCACAACACGAGATTGTGTGGTTGTTGGTAGCTAGCTACCTATTTTAACTGAGGATCAGCCTTGTGCATATCAGATCACCTGAACAAATTCATGTCTTTCAGGTCAAAGGCATAGTTGAGCAACTCTCTCCACAAAGGAACTTTAACTGTTATTCCAACGGTTGAGTTCAGCTAACAAGGCTGCGCAGCAGGCAGGGAGACACAAAAGAGTTCTACATGAAAGACATTCCTGGAATTTCTCAGCATTTGTCAACCAAAATGGCTGCTTCTCCAGCGTGGACCCTCTCACCCAAGAGGAGTAGTTCTCCAGGGTCGTCATAAGAGGATCTCCCCCTGTCTATTGGATCAGGTGTCATGTTTCGTCGCTATGTCCTTCAGTGCAACATTGAGTTTTGTTCAACATGAACATCATTTCAAAGCCAGCAAGCGGCAGCAGCTGATCCTCAAAACCTAACCAACTATATGCCAGTTTCCCATACTTCCTGCATTGGGATTTGTGGACACAAACGCCTAGAATCTATGTATGTGGCAATTGGCTGAGGATGCTCATCAGAAACACAATTATCTCTGACTAGTAATTCTTACTTCATTCGTTCCCAATCAGTTCACACACCTCTTCCTTTATTTTTGTGCAGTCTCACTCGACTCTTGAGTCTCTATTCTAACCTCACTGCCGTCATTACCACAAGGAGTGGTGCACAGCCGCTATGCCCCTTAGAATGGCTGTGAACACTCGCCGATGGTGCTCCTGTCACAGGTGGACAAGTGATGCTGCACTACATTGAGATGACAGCAAGGATTCTCAGTGTCCTCGGTGCTGGTGGCTCTGCTGTCCTTCCTGGGAGTGTACAGTTGCCGTCCCAGTTGCCAGAAAAGAGCATGTTGTCTCTTGATGCAGGTGGAAATATTGCAGCCACAAATAAAATGGACGCTCCTTGCGTACTGAGTTGAGTGTAAGTCGGCACCCAATCCCGGATTTGTCCAACGCAGATCTTTTCTGGTTAGGCCTGGCCGACACGCTCCTCGCCTCTCAGAGAATTCAGCCTTCCTTCACCATCACTCATCTACGTGCAGAAAGATGGAAGGTCTCCCAAGGAGCTCTTAACATCTCACGACAAGCTAAGTTCTTGCATCAATGCACCATCAAGAGGGAGGGAGGGAGATCTCTGTTCTGTCTAGTCCTCTAGTCTCCTATATACTGCAGAGATCTGATACAGAGTGGCCCCCGTGTTAACTCAGAAGATCTCAGCGAGGCCTAATAATTGGTGAGGGCTGCAGTGGCAAGGAGGTGCATTCTGAGTTTTACCTTCCCTCTCCATCACCTCCCCCTCCGTCCACCCTCCCTCCCTCTCCATGTCTCTGCATGGAGATCATGTGCATACTTGCTCGATATGCACGCATGCGTGACACTTGGACCAAAAAACATTGCAAATACAATATTTGGCAAAAACAACTATGTATATTTTAAGATGCTCATGATTAGTATAGGTTGAAGTCATCCATTGCAAATGGCAAAAACAACTACATATGTACATATTTGAGATGCTCATGAATAAGTGTCACTGAGGTCATGGTTGATGATTACAAGGTGCACTTGCCATTCCAAGGGTCGGTCATCCTTCATGTTATTCTAGAATGATTCACCAGAGAGAGAGAGAGAGAGAGAGGAGAGAGAGAGAGAGGCAAGAGCATCAATGCCATACACACATCACAGGCAAGCAAACTGTCCGTATACACATCAGCAGGGGTTCATTTTGGAGTCATCCCATTGACAAACTCTAGCCCCTCCTTGGAGTTGTGAACCTTTTTAATGCACACTTAAACAGGGTATTGTCCCCTCCTCTTCTTCATGATTATGACAAATCCCCACCTTGGGATGAATTTATAAATGAAGGCCTGCTGAAGGTCTATTGACAATTGTAGGTTTGCACTCCGTCTTTGGAGCACTAAGCTACTTCTCTGTCCTGTGTATACAGTGCTTTTTCACTGTATACGATTATTTACAAAGTACTCCCCAAATACTTGAGTAGATGATGCAACCAATATACATTCCCCACAGCTGTGAATGTATAGACATAGGGGAATCCTACGTAGTATGAGCTACTTACTCCAAATGGCGCCCTATACATACAATAAGCACTTCCTGTCATATGCAGCTGCACAGTCACAAGGGCGTGTACATACATAATATTATGTACATACATAATATATGGACAAACCTATGATGTATATACCTGTGCCTTATACACAAGGCAGTACAGGGGAGTACAGAAGGGAGTCCATTTGGTTGACAACACTAAGCAATACGCAATACAAGGAAACATGTGACTAGCATTCAGTGTAAGTGCAACACACTCCCCCCATTGTTGTGTACATTGTCTGCCAACAACAGATGCCAAAGAGAGACTATACATACACTACCCATAAGCATAACAGTGAACTGCAAACGTAGGCTATCACACAATGAGTATAGTGGGTAAAAGTCAGCCTGTTGATATAGCAAGACACACATCATTACCTCAGCAACACCTCCACATACCACTGAAAAGCTCAGAGCATGAATATTGCATTATTCGTGTGGGAATATTCACATGTCATTAAAGATAGCAGCTGCATTACTGTCACATTTCCTAGAAATGCTACAACCAATTTGCTACACTGTCTTGCACCACACAAGAAAAACATCTAACTCAGCAATGTGCTATGTGTAATGGGGATCACCCAAAGCACCTTACACAGTATGATGCATGGACAATCAATGGGCGTATATAGACTGTATGAAAACCAGTTGCTCACTCGTTTTGAATAAGATACCGAGACTGTCTTTTGGGGAGGGTCTGTTTCAGTTTTAGAGGCACCGATAACAGTCACTATTCAATCTCTTATATATTATAGAAAGGGTTATAATTACCTTGTGCCTCATAATAATGCAGCTACTGTCTGGGAGGTACGGCTGGTGGTTTGGAAGTCTTGGAGGAGGGGCCCTGCATATAGACCTACTGCATAGGTAATTTTCTCTCTGCTGACATCTGTTTTGTATTAAGTAATGCGTGACCACATGCTAAGTGTAGTGGTCAAAACTCAGTTGTAAAGGCTGTTTGCCATCAGATGGACAAGTGCATTAACTTGGAAGCTAGTTCGGCCCTAAGTGGAGGAGGTGGCACAGAGAGAGGGATATCCTCAGGAGCTAGAGGAGGTGGGGGAGAGGGAGGAATGTCCTCGGGGGCAAGGGGAGGGATATCCTCAGGAGGGAGGTCTTGATCTTCATCCTGGACTGCACCACGAGGAGGGATGGGGGGAGCTGGTTTAGTGGGTGGACGTCGGAGTGTGTCCTCATCTTCCTCTATCACCACTGGGAGGACACCTGTAGCACCAGGTGAGGATAGGAAGAGAGAGCTTGAAATCTCTGTACATCTTCTCCGGAGCCACCTTCTTGGCACAAGAGCCTAGAGGAAAATAACATTTTATTCACTTGCCATCAACTGACAGACAGAATATCACATGGGCCAGTGTAAAGGGGAATACCCAGGGACAGCACGTAGTTGAATGGCTGCCAAATGAGTCAGTAATTGAGGTAAAGATAAGTGTGTATACCCTAATTTCCATTTAGCTACTATTTTTTACATACATACACATTATGGAGGAAGACTATAATACAGAGTACATATATACCCCCCACCCCCCTGGAAATGAGAATGTAAGGACTTCATGTAATGGTAAACAATGAGATGGCTTATTAACTCCCACCTACATATACACTACATACATCTCTATGGGAGGTGATTCGTGCCAAAATTCGACGATGTGACGAACCCGTTTTGTTCGTCTGGAGGAGGCGTGATTCGTCGGGCGGAGGCGCGTTTGTTCCAGTGGAGAGGCGTGTCTCGTCGAGCGGAGGCGCGTTTTTACGAGTGGAGAGGCGTGTCTCGTCGAGCGGAGGCGCGTTTTTACGAGTGGAGACTGTCTCGTCGAGAGGAGGCAAGTTTTTTGAAGTGGAGAGGAGCGCGAAAGTGTGGAGAAGGCGGTCAGACCTAGAGCAGCTAGTGAGTGCGACCTCTCAGCTGCAGCAGCAGCTTCTTGAGAGCGCGGTGCGCGGTCTTGAAGGTCAGCCATACTAGCCGTGTATGAATAGCCATCCTAGGAAGTTATTCTTATTAACGCCGTCCTTGCCCTTTGACCGGAGGCGGTTCTGGGAACCCGACGATGGAGATACGCCTCTCCACACGAAGAAACTTGCCTCCTTCCTCCTCTCGACTTGGCACGCCTCTCTACTTGAAAAAAACTTGCCTCCTCTCGACGAGACACGCGTCTCCACTCGTAAAAACGCGCCTCCGCTCGACGAGACACGCGTCTCCACTCGTAAAAACGCGCCTCCGCTCGACGAGACACGCCTCCTCCAGACGAACAAAACGGGTTCGTCACATCGTCGAATTTTGGCACGAATCACCTCCCATAACATCTCTAGGTATGTCCATGAGCTAGAAGTGGCTGACTTACTACAATCTGTTGGTCTCACCAGTGGTGGAAAAATCCAGTAGGGCGGTGGCCAGGTCAGCAAACCCACAGACACAAGCCAGTTGGCTGCTTACTTTGCAGAATAAACTTAGCAACACCTTAGCAACAGGAAAAAATAGTATTTTTGTCCTACATAATAATGATAATCAACATTGTGAATAATTGTATTAAGTTCTTATAGTCCAGCTTTACATGGCAGTTTATTGTAATTCACACCATAGTTAGACAGCACAGCGGCATTTTTCTTCACTGTTCTCCACACTGCCTATGGTGGTATACTCCGCGATTTCTCTGTTGGTCATTCCTAACACTTCTCTTTGCCATATAAATCTCCACGTAAGGTCTGCCGAGTATGCAGACCCTCTCTTGGTTTCGTAAGAAAACCTCGTGGGCGCCTTACACATAGATCGGCGCCTTTCTAACTGCGAGTTCTGAATAGCGCACACCTGGTTGGCAAAAGCATGCAACAACTATGGTGGTGAGCCAGAGGAGGTTGCGCACAATAAAGCTGTCCGCGCATGCGGTTATAATGTGTAATCAAGTATCGTAGCTGCAAAAGGAAGTTGCTCTGGCTGGTGTTCTGGCTGGTGTTCAGGCGGGCCAAGACCTTGCTATCTCTCGATTGTTTATATGTCCAAGTGTGTACCATGGAGAAGACTCGTAGCCTTGCATATGGGGGGAGATTAGTGTCAAAATTACGCACACCAACCTCCGTTAAATAAAGATAGTCGCAATACGTACATTTTGGTACACACTTTTTAATTTGGGTACCCAGTTCTCATTCGGGTATATACACTTTTTATTTGGGTACCCCAGTTTTCATTTGGGTATAATTATATGCACACTTTTTTAACCCTCGCCTGAGGGTTATTGCAGTCGGTCTGTGTGTCCGTGTCCCGTGTGTGTCTGTCCATCTGTCCGTCTGTCCACCGTTTTTCTCGGTAACCGCGGCAACTCTGAGCGTGAAACGTGGACATATTATCAAGTAGGAGGCATGCATGGCTGGTATGCTATGAACTATAATTTCATGGTAGGAGCGGAGAAGGCCGGGGGAAGCTGGCGAAACGGACGGGCCGGCTGCCAAGTGTGCATCAAATAGAGATCGCAGACGATCGCTGTACTTAGATGCTGGATGCTTTGCGCATGTGGAGAAGATTTGCTGGTCTGCCTGTATTGATGGTGCATACCCAAATAAAAACTGGGTACCCAAATAAAAAGTGTGTGTACCAGAATGAGAACTGGGTACCCAAATAAAAAAGCGTGTACCAAAATGTACGTATTGCGACTATCTTATTAACGGAGGTTGGTGTGCGTAATTTTGACACTAATCTCCCCCCATACCTTGCAAACGCCAGTGTGCCGTTCTGCAGAGAGCGATGACTCAGCGGGTTGACTGGGTTGCGTGGGCGAACATACAACTCTAAGGCGCACGTGATGCAAGCGATGACGTGTGCACAACCTCCTCTGGTCCGAGAACGTTGACTACGTTCAAGTGTCTTCAGTTACAACCAACAGCAGCACAAGAGTTCGGCACAAGCAGAGAGCGTACGAACAGGATTGATCGACGGAGAATGTTGGTTGAAGTTGCGGCAGTGGACAAGGAGAATGAGAGACAAGCAGAAGAGCGCGAGAAGGAGAGTCAGGAGGTAGCTCCAGAAGGTCTGCTACTACTCCAGCAGCCCTGCAGGGTTGATGCACAAACACAAACATCCCCTCCAGTCCGAGATGCTGAGGCAGTGCAGTCTTCATTGTGTTCCTCCACGCCAACATTCTTCTATCTTCCAGTAGAATCTGGTGCGACACGGCCTTATGGCAAGAAGCTTCTGGAGGGAACGATGAATGCACAAGATTTTACACTGGCCTAAAATCATGGTCAATCTTCCTTTGTACTGCTTGCCCAACACTTACGTCCTTCAGGACAGCACACTTCGTTTTGCCAGTGCCAAACACCATACACAGAACCGTTCTGACGTGGCCCGATTCGAAATAGATATAGGCCTCCATCTGCTTCCAAGAAACGAGCTTTTGTTGGGTGTACGTGCCGGGTCTAGTGATGAAGTAAGCGAATATGTGACCATACTCGATCTTCGGCCAACTAGTCATGTCCGTGCTGAATCTATCATCTGAAGAGTATGGGTCGGCTTCAAGTGAAAGGCCAACTGTCTCTAGCTTCTCTTTGTATCGCTTTTTCCCTTGCCAATCCAACGACTCGAAGTAACCACTCATTTCTCCTTGACCGTCGCACATGCGCTTTTTGCCAACCAGGTGTGTTATTCTGATAAACTCACCTTCCATGCTAGTCAGAGATACAGGGTGGCTGAAGCCAGCACAGTTGTTGGCAGTGATGATGATGTAGTAGACAGTGGAGTAGTCCAGTGAGAGAGGTAGTTCAAGAGACTCAGTGGTTGTCTGGACCACAGTCTGGTCCTCCTGGTAGAGAGAGAGGGTGTAGTTGTCAATCTCCACTCCTCCATCATCCCGTGGACTCTCCCACCCAACTACCAGTGAATACTGAGATATTCCATACACCACTGATGATGTCAGGTGAAGGCAATCCTAAAATAGAACGTAATTATACAACTCCTTGTGATAGTCTCCTTTGTACCTGATATCTTTATGTATGATGGTACAGATATATTGTTGCTTATCCCATTGAAGCACAGAATTTTAATGGGATAGTCAGTGAGGGAGGGGTTAACTTGTGTGTGGAGTGTTGAAGTTAAGTCACCCAGGAAAGAATACTGCTGGTCTCGAGAGTAGTTTGTCAGAGAGGCAGTGAACTGGCCAGTGGAGTCAGTCTGAGTGGTGAGAGATGAGTAATCTGCCAGGTTGAAGAGAATAGTGTTATCGTTTGAACCAATGACCCAGGTTAGTCTTCCTGTGCCTAGTACAGAACAAGTCAGAGTGACATCTTCTCCAACACAAGCTGATCCATCGACAAGACTGGATGTTATCACTTGCCCCTGTTCATACTCATTACTAGCAACTATCATGCCAAACGACAGCAATGCGACTGGATGATTCAAACTGGCGGCAGTTGTACACCCCATAATCTGTAGTCCTGTGTGCCGTCGTTTGCGCGTTGAAAGCGAGTGCGCATGCGTGTTACGGTTGCGGCATTCTCACCCCCCCTGCTGTTGCTTATAAAACCGTCCTCACCTGATTATTAGTCCTCACCTGCTGCCTGGTTATTAGCTACCAAAAATTGTCCTGGATATAAAGGTACGCGTTTTTTCACTATTGTCCTGCGTTGATATCCTTACTTGCGGGTGGGCTTACGAATCTGCGTACACCCGGTTAGCCAGTCAAAGGCAAGCGTGTTACACATAGGCATTCGAGTAACCGTCGCAATTCTTCGTCTGCTGCTTACGAGGACTCGAAAGATCCAACTGAAGTATGTCCAGTTTACTGATGTCTGAATAGATAGGTATAGATAGCTAATGGTACTTTTTGAGTTTCAATGATGATTGTGTTGATAGTAGCTTTTATGTTGGTAATTGTCCCACATAACAATGATAATCACCATTGTGAATAAATTCTATTTAGTTCTATGTCCAGCTTAACAACGACAGTTTATTATATTCACCGCATACTAGTTAGACCATATGGCACCATGCAAATATTTATGATGTAATGTCTTATGCACAAAGGGTTGCCGGCCGAGGATTAGGTGGTGGGGCTCACATCGCAGCGCAACACGAGTCTTACCCTTTCATGCCACTAATATACAAGCAGAAACCATGTACAAAGTATTAACGCCTAGTATTAAAAACCTCCATATAAATATTGCTGCTTATGGGACAATGGATACATTTATGTAGTGTTAATGTATGCCCGTGCATCAGAAGAACCAGTGAGATCCTTTTCAACTTTAAGAGATGTTCTCTCTGTCAAAACCTAAATTGCTTTTGCTCGCATTTTGAACCATACAGATTGAACTACGATGGAAGTACAACTGGCTATACTTTTGTCTTGTTTCCCTCTTCGGACAACAGCATGTTCTTGGAGAGAATGGTAGTTGGCTGCAGCATAATAAAGTGCACCTTTACGTTTTGTTACGTTTTGTATGTCTAGATACCCTAAAGTTTGAATGTACAGGATGTATTTTACCTGATACTAAAGCAGACTACTACTGTCCAGAGATTACTGATCTATTTTACTTTCGTTGCCGAATATACAATTCTACATCACTGGTCTGGACTTTGCTACACTACAGTATACCTTTGGTAACTTCAACATCGGTTGATAATGTCATCCGTAAAGGCTCAGATGTTACAGTCCTTGTGGAAAGGATTGTGCCCGACAATAAGGGTAGCTATAACAGCATATTTTAGTTCTCACTTGTGGATTGACTTTAAAGAATTACCTCAGAATGTCCGTTCTATCAATGTTACCTGTGGAAACACAACTACAAGTTCTCGCAAAGAATTATTGGCCTTAGGTGAGGCATAAACACAAAACTTCATTTGTGTGTGCATTGTAGGATGTAGCTATGTTTTTAATTACAGGAGCGGTACATTCCCCTACGAATATCAATACCACAGCAGACATTCTTGACCCTAGCAAGACTCCTAAAGAGTGTTTTGTGTACTATGAGTGGCACCACCCTAATCCAGAAAAGGTTTTGTACTACCAAACTGAAATATTCCTTAACAGTGTAAAATCTATTCACAAAATGAATATTCCTCAAGATTCAAGAAATACAAAATGCAACATGTCTTCTTGGCACTGATGCTCTCAGCAAAGATGACCATTATTTGGTAGTAATCACTACTGTTGATCGATGTAATCAACGTGCAAGTAACAGCAAAAAAATAGGTAGAATAAACTTCCTGTACTTCTCTTGAAACCTATTATTTATATTTCCCCCATATTTAGATACGACGCTTTGCTCAGAGCCCCAAGACCAGTGTTCAGGCTCCGGCCATCAAGGGATATCTATGCATGAAGGATTGCTCTTCTCTGCAGTCCTTCTCTTAGCCACTGGGACTGTGTTTCTGGCGGTAGTGCACACTAGCTAGCATGCAAATGTTTATGATGTAATGTATTTTGCGCAAAAGGTTGCCTGCTGAGGTTTAGGTAGGTGGGGTGGTCCGCCTTCTCACATCACAGCGCAACGTGAGTCTTAATGTATGTCCATGGCATTAGAAGAGCCAGCGAGATCCTTTTCAACTTTAAAAGATGTTCTCTCTGTCAAAACCTAAATTACTTCGCTCGCATTTTGAACCATACAGATTGAGCTACGATGGAAGTACAACTGGCTATACTTTTGTTTTGTTTCCTCTTCGGACAACAGCATGTTCTTGGAGAGAATGGTAGTTGGCTGCAGCATAATAAAGTGCACCTTTACGTTTTGTTACGTTTTGTTTGTCTAGATACCCTAAAGTTTGAATGTACAGGATGTATTTTACCTGATACTAGAGCAGACTACTACTGTCCAGAGATTACTGATCTATTTTACTTTCGTTGCCGAATATACAATTCTACATCACTGGTCTGGACTTTGCTACACTACAATATACCTTTGGTTACTTCAACATCGGTTGATAATGTCATCCGTAAAGGCTCAGATGTTACAGTCCTTGTGGAAAGGATTGTGCCCGACAATGAGGGCATAACAGCAAATTTTAGTTCTCACTTGTGGATTGACTTTAAGGAATTACCTCAGAATGTCCGTTCTATCAATGTTACCTGTGGAAACACAACTACAAGTTCTCGCAAAGAATTATTGGCCTTAGGTGAGGCATAAAACACAAAACTTCATTTGTGTGTGCATTGTAGGATGTAGCTATGTTTTTAATTACAGGAGCGGTACATTCCCCTACGAATATCAATACCACAGCAGACATTCTTGACCCTAGCAAGACTCCTAAAGAGTGTTTTGTGTACTATGAGTGGCACCACCCTAATCCAGACAAGGTTTTGTACTACAAAACTGAAATATTCCTTAACAGTGTAAAATCTATTCACAAAATGAATATTCCTCAAGAAATACAAAATGCAACATGTCTTCTTGGCACTGATGCTCTCAGCAAAGATGACCATTATTTGGTAGTAATCACTACTGTTGATCGATGTAATCAACGTGCAAGTAACAGCAAAAGAATAGGTAGAATAACTTCCTGTACTTCTCTTGAAACCTATTATTTATATTTCCCCCTATTTAGATACGACGCTTTGCTCAGAGCCCCAAGACCAGTGTTCAGGCTCCGGCCATCAAGGGATATCTATGCATGAAGGATTGCTCTTCTCTGCAGTCCTTCTCTTAGCCATTGGGACTGTCTAAAGATGTGAAGAGCGTGTAGCAGTAGCTAGGTAAATAAATTACAGGAAAAAGTTTTCTATACATATTATACGCATGTGAGATTTTGACCCGCCACGCAATGTACACCGGCGCGCGACGACGCTCCTAGCAACCTAATAGCGCGACACGCTCGCTGAGTCAAGAAATAGACATAGGCAGGGCTCAGCTCGCCCCAATGATGTAATTATCATCTACAACCTGCGACACTTACGGTGCTACAGTGACAGGGCTAATGGCGAATTAGCTACCATCCATCAACGCGCATTTATTTAGTTTTGGAGACAGCTAGCTATTAGCTACTGCACAGCCTCCAGGGGGGAACTTCATGAGCCCTGCATTGCGCATGCGCAGGGCGCGCGTATATATATAGGCCCGTCACTTCTAGCTTATTCACAAAGAAGATGACTACTAAAATGGTGAGTATATATATGATTGAATTACGACACGCTTTAATGGCGTATAGCTTAGGTAATCGCTTGTTTATGTTGGAGATATTTATTTTCTATAAAGGTTGCTCCATTTATTATTTCGACTGTCACTATTTGGCAATATCTTTGCAGAGGTAAAAAAAATTAATTATACAGATTAGCTGTGTATGCATATCCATGCAGGTGTTATTGGACTTGAATTAACATCATCCGTTGAGATCGTTGGGGGATATGTCACAGGTTGTCCACACACAACCTTAACCTTCACTTGCTCTGTCACACAAGTCTCTTCTCTCACATGGCTTGCTCTACCTTACCTTAATGAAGACGACACTGTCATTATTTTTGCTTCAGAAACTGCTCACAGCACAATAGTTGGTGGTGTATTCAATGTTTCTCTAGTCTCTGTAGAAAACATGATGGGGCACAGTGCTGATCTTACATCTACGTTAAGCACCCAGGCAAATGATATTGTGAATGGAACAAATGTTTCTTGCCTGATATTCTCTGACAGCAGATCAATTACTATTCTTAAAGAAGGTGCTCAGTGGTTCTTGTTTAAAATGTCATCTTATTATTCTCATTTCTGTTTACAGCTCCCCTTCCACCTGTAGTGACAATAGTTAGCTATGCCCTGACTTTCAGTGTCTTGTTTGTTGTCACATGGGCTCAGCCGCAGCGTGTACCTGTTTCCGGTTTTATTATCTCCACTTCCAATACAAAGCCTGTACTTATCGCAAACACGACTAACTACACAATTGAGAGTGACTATAATACTAAACTAACCTACAACTTCAGTTCTTACAATTGCTTTGGCACTAGTGAAAGTATTACAAAGGAATTCTTCATGGGTAAATTCAATGTTATAATCCCTAACACTATTAAAGTATATACCTCCAGCTGGCTGTGGTCCTCCCAGTCCACCAGTGAATGGCAGTGTTGGTGAGTGGACCAGTTCCAGAGTAGGAGCACAGGTCACCTACTCCTGTGACACCCACCTGGTTCTGGTGGGAGAGACTGTGGCCACATGCTCTCTCCCTTCTCTAACATGGCTGCCTAGTAGCGATGATGTCACCTGTGTACAGCCTACGTCAGGTACGCAAGGCTCATTGGTAAACATTCAAATATTGTGTTCGCTGTTCTCTGCAACGTTTTGTAGAATGCGAGGATCCAAGTAAACTGCTACAAGGAAATGTTTCTTTCACTAGTCTCAAGAGTTCAATGATAGGTCTATCTTGTGATGATGGATATAGTCTTAATGGTAGCGAAACATCAGAGTGTATTCTTGGACAGTGGACCCCAAGTCTTAAACTAGCAATGTGTCTCATCACTGACAATACATTGTCAAGTCAGTTATGAATAATATTATGTCATTTACAAAAGTCCTGGTTAGTGCATTTTCCCAAAAGGGTGCAGTTATCCAAGCGTGGGATTATTGCAGCACAACGTTAATGTTTGGGGAAACAATTGTTACCTAATCTTCTCTTGTACCTCTGGATATGCACTCTATGGCACTACCACATCTCATTGTGTTTCAGGAGAATGGATCCCTAGTCCTGACTCTGTCACCTGCAGGAATTCCAGTATGCATATATAATGTGTGACCATCATGCACAAAATGATTCATACCTGATTTTCAGCTCTCTTGGATTCTTCTTCTGTTAGTGGCGCCTCTCTGAGTACAGCAGAAGCAGTGGCCACAACAGGAGTAGTGTGTGTAGTGTGTGTAGCTTCACTGCTGGACTGCTACTTGGTGTTCTACTGACTCAATGTCATGGTCACTGTCATAGGAAGGGGAAGAGAGGCCAGACTGAGATACCTCCTGTTTATGAGGACATTCCCTTGGAGAAGACACCTC